CACACACACACACACACACACACACACACACACACACACACACACACTCACTCACACCAGGGTACAAGCCTTGTAAAAATGCAGCTCTGCTTTTATGAAACGACTTCTTCTCAAGTGCCTTAAATTCCTATTCAGTTAGTCCACTTTGACCCCCCCTGGTATCTGCTGCATCCTGTCAAACTGCATGTCCGTATGTGATTTGGGGGCAGCTGAAGATGTGGTTAATTCCCAGGGAAGTTCGTCGGTGCCGGCCGGTCCGGGACTCTGGCCGCGTCGCAGCTGCTTGGGTGTGTTTGTGCGTGCATGCGGGGGATGTCATTCCTCACTACGCTATACATGCATGATGTGTGGGTGTTGAGACAGCTGTCTGTGCACGGTGGAGGCAGGGTGCTGAGAGACATGATGGCTGCTACCTCCACGACAGGTGGACACACAGTCGCCCCTCCTTGTGTCATACACTCCGAAAATACCCAAAAGATTTTCAACAGTTTTGTTCTAAACCACAGTTTTTAACTAAAATTGCATTTTTTATTTGTATTGCCATTTGTAAATAAAAGCTTTTTTTTTTTTTAAACAACAGCTTGTGCGCGTCCTTTTAATGCAACAGTATTTCAACAGGCTTTGTTCCGACACACACATGCATGACAGTTTCTGAATGGGAAGACGGAGCTGTGCGCTCTTGTATGGGTCGGTGTGTGTTCGGGGGAGTGGGGAGAGGTTTATGGGATGTTGAGTGATAAGGGGAACACCTGCACACACCTGCCGGGCTGTTGGGAAGCGTGGAGAATACACAGAGCGCAGGTGGGAGGGCGGGGTGGGGGTCAGGGTTGATGCTGAGTAAATGAGAAGAGGCCACATTTTCCTGAGCAGAGTTTTAAAATGATTTGAGAATCCTGTTGCAGCATCCAGCTCAGGCTCAACAGCCCACACACTGATGCCAGCAGGCCTTGGTGGGGGCATTTCCTCCAGTAGGTCTTGTGTTGAAAGGGGGGGGGGGGAAGGGGGCCCAGCCTGAGCCTGAGATCAGATTGCATGACTTAGCTTGCTCAATGTAAACATGTTAAAGACTACACATGTGAACTGAATAATGACACCTACTTTGATGGGGGGGGGGGGGGGTATATGAGTGCCTTTTTCTCTCAACCCTTGTCAAGAAAGAAGTGAAGTCATTTTGGCTGCTTCACAGCAACGCAGGTGATGGAGAGGCCTGAAATCTTTTCAAACATACACCGAGAGAGCAGACGCATGACTTGTCTAAATATTTCTATAGAGATATCAGTGTCCTCCTCAGGACATCTAAACTCATCTGCTTCGGCTGTTTTGAAATTAAACTCGACATCTTGCTGGAAGGTGGGGGAGACATTTTTCTGGTTTGCAGAGCGTAAAGAGGCAGTTGGTGACGTTCTCGCTCTGAGGCACTGAGCTCACTGGAGCTGTCACCTTTCTTTGTCCACGTCTGTCGGTGTCATATTGGTCTCCTTCAAGTATTTTAACGTTCACAGCATCGTGCGCACATCTACCTGACTAATTTGACATTCTTGAGCCATTAGCGACAGACATACAACACCACCGTCCAACTGGAGAGAGTGGGGGGCACTCGGTCAGTCTGTTGTTCCTGCAGTTGGCTCCTAAATCAAAGTAATAATTAGATTTCCTATTACAGGAAATAAAGCACTGCTGACCTGATTACAGAGACAAGAGGGACTTTTTTAAAAGACGAGCAGATTCTAATGAAATTTGTTTTTTGTGTATACACAAGTCATTGCTTAGCAGTTTGCATTTCATTCTGTCACAAAAATATGATTTTCTCTAAACAATCATCCTATTTTGCAATCAAAAGAGGATTTTGATGCTTGCTGCTGGATGCCCCGCAAGACTGAATAAACTGGGTTCAATTAATGAAGCAGCAATAACACAAAAGTTTTTTCCAAATTCAAAATAAGTATAAGATTTTGACAAGCGGAACCTAGTGTTATCTCTTTATGCTAATTCAGATGCAGTGTTGTGCAAACACAACCCCTCCACAAACATAAAGCGTTGATAGAAAGCATCTGGTTTATAAGTGGGATTTTGTTGGTCTGCGTTCTGCCAGGAGTGTCACCATGGTCCATGCTCAGGAGGAGAGAGTGCACTGCTGAAATCAGAGCTGTCAGGGTTTGCAGAGCTGATTCACTGGAGGATCACATTCAAGCCAGCAGGGTTAAGTCACTAGGATAAAGTTTCCAACCTTCTTGCAAGCTGCAGAGCTCTTACACAATTGCCCCAGCCCTCAGCGCCAACATTCTCCGCTGGTGCTGTCGCTGTAAACTCCAGCCTCAAGAGGAAAATTATGTAGCGTGTATGGGAAAATAAATCAGTTTGCAGGAGAGGGTGATGATCTTGGGATAATTTAGAGACTGGACATTGGAGGAGGAGGGGGTGCTTGGTGAGTGTTTGCCGAAGAATGGATGTTTCTGTTTGCAGGCCATTAATCGAATCAGTAGGGAGTTGAGTTTACTGAGGAATGCCACATGTTGCAATGGAGAGTGCCACTGACGTGCTGAGAGGACATTCTCACTGCTGATGCTGCTGAACACATCTTCCTCATCCAGGTTTCCCCCCTGAAAGGAGTTTCTGTTAGAAACTCTCACCCCTTGCAAACATCTTCATCACCAGAACCTTCAGGAATGTCCATTACGTTGTGACACATGAACACTAAACACCCAGATCTCTGCACAGATGAAGCAGTTTTACCCAAGGACAAGAAATGGCCTTCAGGAGGGGGTACATGCCATTTCCTGTCCAACTCTGCAGCCCTGCTGTCCCCTTCAATAGCGTATGTGTATCGGTGTGTGCGTTATGCTTTCCTGCTAAACACTGAGGCTCTGTCTAACAGGGTCAGAGGGTGGAGGACGAGCCATAAAGACACAGGAGGACAAACCAATGGCACACATTGTCTGTAACAGAGGTTTTCAACCCTGAGACAAAAACTGTTTCTTTGGTCTTGAACATTTACAGAACAAAAATGAGCAACACCGGAGAGCTCTTATATACTGAAGGCCTGCAGATACAAGTGATCGTAGGAGCATTGAGGAAGCTGGAGCCGTTATATCCCAGATATCAACTGGAAGACAGTCTGGATGACTCCCCATAAATATTTAATTATAAATAAGGTGAAGGAAGTGTCATTTAACATTCTTCATAAAATTTACCCCGTTAAACATTATATGATCAAATTTAAAAGAGACATACATTTTGATTGCAGTTTTTGTGGTGACCTTCCAGAAACTGTGACACATATTTTTGGGCACTGCCCTTTCACACGCAGGTTTTGGAAGGAGTTTAGCAGGTTTATTAAAAAACATATTTTAAGGACTTTTTCCTTACGTTGGGAATCAATCAACCTTTGTTTATACAGGTAAATCCCATTGAGCCTCGAGGACTCATTTACAAGAGAGACCTGATTTCAACAAAGAAAGATGACAACAATGGACAACAGCAACAACAATAAACAGTTATAAAAAAAAGCATACTACAGTTTTTATTATTATTTTTTTTTAACAAATAGGATGGCTAAAAGGAAAAGGTAACAAAACAAAAAACAGCTAGATTCCAAGACAAATGTAGAAAACTAACAACAGGAACATGTCAGCATTGGACCCTGCCAGGTGTCCCAACAGATTCTTAAAGACACAGAGAGGTCAAGGTCGAGAGCTTCAAATCTTTTTGTAAGATGTTTCAGGAAACAGGAGCGGAGTAGGAGAAGGCCCTTTTGCCTAGTTCAGTCCTCACTGAGGGAACACTGCAGGTAATAATGTCCTGAGAGCGCACGCTGTAGCTGCACTCACGCAGAGACATGTAGGAGGAGATGTATGAAGGCAACAGACCAAGAAGTGATTTAAAGATGAAAATGTACCAGTGAGAGAGTCTGCGTGAAGTTAATGATGACCAGTTAACCAGTGAATATAGTGTGCAGTGGTGGGTACGATAATCACAGCCAGTTATGGAAAAATGTTTTAATTTGTTTTTCTAGATTCCCCAGAAAGGATGCTAAATGGTTTTTTTTTATAATAAACTTGCTAATTCTTTTGGCCAAATTTTTCATTCATAAATGTAAATTTACTAACAAAACACCATGCTTTCTTAATTTTATTAAGGATGTGGAATTATATGCAAAGTAAATAGACTCTACAAACAAAAAGGCCCTTAGGTCAATTTCTATCTGCAAATCTTTGTTTAAAAACCACACTCCTGGTTGTTTGTTCATATAAGTGTTGTGTTCGTCTGTATACTACATTCATTTGTTTGTTGTATACTTGTCATTTGTTTTAATAAAGATTTAAAAAAAAATTAAAAAGGAGGAATGAGGAAGTTGTTGATAAGTGAGGGATTTTGTCAAAATAACCAGGTGGGAATGGATCACATTTGCATTTAATCTGATTATTTGCTTAAAAAAACAAAACAAGTAAAACAACAGATAAAGTACCTTTAAAATGCCAAATGAGGATGTTAATGCGGTATTTTAGATATTTGGAATAGGGTTTGAAAGGTTCATCAGTTATTCTCTTTCCTGTTGTAGAAAGCTCTTTACAGAATCTCAGTTTGGAGAAACAGATTATAAGTCTAATTTTTCTCACAAGCTAACAACTAGTCTGAGAAGAGTCAAAGTGGATTGGTGTTTTCTTTAAACATCTTGAGCTACACATACATTTGTATGAATGCTTTTTATTTATTTTTATTTTTAAATAAATCTCTACGTTGTTCATTGATGGACACCACGCTGCAACAGAAGTGCAACAGATATCTGCTGCTATTTGTACTTGCAACTGACCATAAAATACAATTTAAATGGTAAATTGACATAATGGTTCAAAAAATTCAGAATAGAATTCAAAATCTTATGTCTAACCTACAAAGCCATCAACAACCTAGCTCCATCTTATATTCGAGCTCTTATTGTTCCATATTTTCCTAACAGATCACTTCGCTC